CCGCCCCGCCCGGATTTAGACACATTACTGTGCTCTCTTTGGTTCCCTGAGCAAAGCACACGCCTTCCTGCCTTTGCTGTTTCCCTCTCCTTAGAGGACTCTCCCATCTCCCCTTCCCGCCCCCTGATTAACTAGAACTACCCAACAGGCCTTAGTGTAGGGACCACTTCCTCCAGAAGCCTCCCTGGTCTGACCTCCACATCTGTGTTGACCACTCTCCTCTGTGCCCCCAATTTTCCCACCTCCCTTATCAAAATACATCCCCGGTGACTAGGGAAGTACCTGATATTTTGCTCTTGCTCCTCCCACCACCCTCCTTTCTGTTTCTAGGCAGTAAGCTCCTCAATGACAGGACTCATGAGTGACTTGGTCCTTGGAGAGACCCCATCACCTAGCTCACTGGTGGACCTAGAATGGTTACTCAGTAACTCTGTACAGCCTGTGTGAAAAAAACAAAACGGTCCACTGGCAGAGTCCCGGGGATCGTGCTCATTTGATGGGCAGGTGGAGGGAGAGGAACCCACCGGAGAGACTGGGAGCCAGCCAAGGGGAGAAGCCAGGCAGGCGGCAGCAGTGATGGGGAACAGTGAGCAGTAGACAGTGTCTGGTGTGGATGCGGGGCAGCTGGAGGAAGGCGAGAAGACCACCCTGCATCCCTTCTGGACAGCCATGGGTGGGAGCCTCGGTGCAGGTGTGGCAACGTGAGTGGCAGGTGAGTTAGAACAGGAGGCCGCAGGATGGCCTGGGAAAAGGCAAACGCACAGTGTCTGAGCCGTTGTGACAGTGGAGGGGACGCTGAGTGAGAAAAGGAAATATTTGCAAGTGCATGTGTGCGGGAGTTACAATTTCTTAAAAAAATCTCATCCATAGCCCTGACTGGCCAAGGGAAGGTGAGGCTCTATCCAAATACAGAGCAAGTGTTTACTGAATGGCAGGTAGAAATAATAAATAAACAACGGCATTCAGACGGGAGATTTGCCTGGTCAGAAAAAGAGCAAATTTTATCAAAACATAAACTTTTAAAAAAAGCCCCATTTTTATGTTTCAGAAAAGATGCTCTGCTCAGGGACTGACACTTAATTAGCTATTTCCAGTGTCCACATCATAGTTTCACAATCACTGGGGTGTCTGCTTTCAGTCACTACAAACCCTTCTTGCGGAATGTCTCCAACGCCATGTATGTTCCCGTGACCCCATCTATTCATGTAAATAGCATTAGCTTTCCAGCCAGTCAGATCCAATGTCAGAGGGCACCCAGAAAACCTCAGGAAAGGGACACTTTTGAGAAAATAATGGGCATGTCAGTTATAGGAATGTCTAATCAATAAGAAACGGTGCATGTGGACAAAAAGGGCCACACTTCTCTTTACAAAGAGGTTCTTCTTTTAAGTGTCTATCAGAGATACAGCTCTGTAAGGTCTCCATCCTGTTCACTTCATTTACAACAGTTAAAAGAAGGCACTGAGGAAAACGGCCTTAAAACATTAAACTACTTTTCCTGAGACATATGTTTCTTATGCAATTAACAATGTATTTGGCATCAATAAGCTCTAATTTCAGAAACATTCTCCCACAAACATTAATCATTAATTCCAAATTCAACTTCTATGTGGCTCCTTGTCACACACAACTCTCCGAGGCTATGCCACATGGTGTCTCAAAAATGTTAATTCACTTCTTTGAGAGATTACACTCCTAGAAAAATATCTGTGCAATAAACATACACACATAACAAGCCAAATGAAGATTTTATGGAAAAAAACACACACAAAACAATTTTCTTCACCAGTTACGTAAATCAAGCCATCATGGTGTGTGTCGTTAACTTATATGGTGATGTATGTCAATTATCTCTCAATAAAATGGGGTGAAAAGGAAATAATTTTCTTATGGAAGATTGCATTTCCGGCCAAACACCTGATCACACCTTTCAGAGAAATGCATAAAATCCTTTGTATAATCAAATGACAAATAATATTTCAGTAGAAGTCAAAGCTCAGCAAATCACATATATAGAAAACTACATAGGAGTTTTTTCTTAATCCCGTCACCTCTTTCACCCAGCCCTGAAACCCCCCACCCTCTGACAGCTGTCAGTCTGTTCTCTATCTGTGAGTCTGTCTCTATTAGGTAAAACACATGCAGTTAAAATATAGTGCCTACAGGGAACTCAGAGGCCTGGCATGACTTTTTCAAGGTCTCCACTACGGGGCAGGACAATTTTTCGTTGTGAAGCTGTCCTGTATATTATAGGTTTGGGTCAGTAGCACTCCACTGGGCAATGACAACCAAAGGAACCACGGACACATTTCCAAATGTCCCCCAGGAGGATACTGCTCCCGTGTTGAGAAAAGAAATTTTAGCCCAGACCCAAAGGAAATGCCCACATTTACATCCCTGGAGAACCACGGGTCAGTTCTCAAACCCAGTGTCCAGGAAGCCAGCGCCCCCAGGAGGGATCAAGAGAAAATACGAGAGTAACAGACTCTTACAGTCCTCTCGTTTCCACCCTGCCCTCCCAGCCTCAGACAATTCACTCATCGATTTCAAAGCTGAGGTCCAGTCATCCTTTTAACTGCTCACCAATTCTCTTGTCCCATTTGTTCATATCCTACCCCATCCCAATCTTGGATCCGTACCCCAACCCAACTGAACCTGGGCTCCTTGCCCGAGGACAGGCGACAGTGACAGCACAAGTCCCAGAGCAACAGTGGAGCAGCCCTGAAGGGCAGGCCTTCGCCGTCACTGCTCCACACGCCCCTCATCCTCGCCTGGTCCTTCCCACACCTGCACTGTCCCATCAGCGGTAGCACCTTCCATTCTCACTCTGCCGCACCCACAAAGGAATCTCCCTGGGTAGCTGGAGTTCCTCCTCCCTCCCCGCCTCCCCCCTTCTTGTCTACCTGTTTATCTCACTGTGTCTCCAGCACAGCACTGAACAGAGCAGGGCCAGGGGGAATCCCGGGCCTCTCCTCAAGCAGTGGAGTAAGTCCAAGGGTTTCCACTCAAGTTGGGACCCTGCAGGTTTTTGGTAGATAGTTTATTTCTCTTCTGTTATTTAAGTCTAAGAGCTTTGTCACAATTAAATATTGAACCACATAAAATAGTTTTCCAGTACTATTGTATTTTTAAATGTCATCCTATGAAAAGTACTTACTTTATTGCCCCTGATTGATTTCATTTCATTTTAATTTTTACTTTAAGTAAAAGTAAAAATGAGTGATGAAAGCCAAACACCTGGGGCCACGCATCTAAGGGGAACACCTCCATACCTGTATATCTGAAATTCAAGTTCAGGAGGAAACCTGTCACGATTGAAAGGGGCCTCGAGCTTACCCGGATGTAGGCGTCCTGGTGCTGCTTGGCAAAGTAGAGCATGTTGTCCAGGGCTAGCATCCCAGGGGGGGTCTGGGTGAAGTCCATGGCAGGGTTGACATGATTCTGTGATTAAGACAAAATGTTTGATCAGGTTAATTCCTCAGCAGAGGTCTGGTTTCCCTCCTCAAGAACAAAGCACCACAAGGCAAAGTCCAAATGATCAAGTAGGAAGACATCTTCCATCTCCATAGCAACCTGCAGGGTGGAGGTGGGGGCTTCTCTGCACGGGGGCAGCAGCATCAGCTTAATACCTGGGTTAGGAAACTCAGCTGAAGATCAGAGCATAGGACGACTGTTAGATGCAACGCTGCGAGAAAAAGAAAATAATGTGACAACTGTCCTTCTGGTGGCTGGGCGGGAGTGGCAGCGACAGCGTCGGGGAGGAAGAGCCGGGGTGAAGCCACGTCTCGCCATCGACCGTCTGCACCTTAACTTGCTCATCCTCACAAGAGGGGGTGAAGCATGACTGCCCTGCCCTTGGATTCCGTGAACTGTCCCGTGTTACGGACACGTGATTAAAAAACCAGCTGTCCCTGAGTCCTGACACCGGCCCATTCTCAGGGAGTGTGCTGGCCTGCAGTTACCACACACAGCACAAGAAGCAGGAAGACAAAATAACAGTTACAAACACACTCAACAAATTCTCCACAGGCTCAAGATCGCCCAGCAAGTACCACGGAAGACCTCGAACACCCGCAGCAATCTTGAGAAAAAGAAACAAAGTTGGAGAAGTCATGCTACCTGATATCAGACTATACTACAAGGTCGTAGTAATCAAAACAGCACGGTACCCGCAAAGCACACACACAAAACAGACACAGAGATCGGAACAGAGGGCCCGGAAATGAAGCCACGCCACTGTGGGCAATGCGTGTTCAGAGCACAGGCTTTTAACTGCACTTCTAGTGTTGAGTCATTGAAGTCCACAGAGATGCCCAGTGCGAAGGTCCTGGACTGTGGTTCTCCTCGGTGCAAATTATTCGCTCAGGAAAGGGGGCCTGTGATCCATCCGTTTTAACAAAAGCTGTAATTTCTCCATCCCTCGCAGACATAACAGACATAAGTCTCTCTGATGTTCAACAAACCACTCCTATCATCCCTGACAAATAGGCTGGCACTAAAGCAATTAGATAGCTGCCTTGGATTCTCTGGGACTGGCCCTAAATTATGAAGTGTCCCTGCATTGTCAATGACAAACAAATTACTTTGTAGTGGTGGGTGAACTCTGTTCTTTTTTCTGTCTCTCTCTCTCTCTTTAACTCCAGGTACCATTTTCCCTGAAATTTCTCTCTCCTTGAAATTATCATTTCTTTTTTCTCTTTTGGCTTTAATAGCCAGCAAAGTAATTTTACAACCTTGGATTTGGATAACAGGGAAGTGAGAATTACACCCTGAAAGACTGGGAAGCTTTCCATACTGTGACAAAAATACTCTGAGAACCCGGCAAGGCCAACAGTCCCCCCAACCCCCAACCCCTTTCTTATTTATGAGACGCTCTGGATACAGATTTATTTTCTTTTCTTGTTCTGTGATTTTTTTCCCACCTGTCTTGAAATAGAAGCTGGGTAAGCTTTGATAAATGGCTTGAAATTCTCCCTTGTTTTACGGCACAGCCTGTTACCTCTGTACATCCTTTTGAAATGCCACTTGCTGGTTCCTGCAGAATGCTGCTCTGTCAACCACATCAGACAGCCCAGCCCCTGCAGAAAGGGGGTGGGGTGGCTGCTCCCTTCTGAAGCACCAGGGTTTCTCACTTTAGGGAAATGACAACAACCGCTGAAGGTAGTGCAATTTATGTTTTTATAGTGAGCACCCTGGTGGGGTTTGGGTGTCGAGTTCTGGAGATCTGTTTCTCCTCTGTTACCCACATGCCAATTCTTTAGCTGAATTATTTCAATGACACATCCCAGGAAAGGTTCAAGGTCTAAGACAGGGAATCATTCCACCTGTTCCAGGCCCCTATGCCAGGGCCCCTGGAGAGCTGGAATGAATCTTGAATATAACCCAGGCCAGTTGCCTTATTTTATAAACAAGAAAACTGAGCCCTTGGTGGAAAGCAGTGGTGCTCACACTTGAGCAGGCATCCAAATCCCCTGGAGGGATTGCTAAAGCACCCCAGTCTCTGACTCACGAGGGCTCGGTGGGGTCCCACGACCTGCATCTCCAACAAATCCACAGGGGATGCAGATGCTGCTGGGTGGAGACCACACCTTGGGACCCAAGGTTGTCTAGACTGGCTCATCTCAGAGAACACCGGAAATATTAAAATAAGATCTAGAATCTAGACTCACTAATTCCTCGAATCCTGAGCAGCATCTACCACACCAGGCTTTGGACCCATTGGTTCCACGTTGCAAATGCATTTTAAATGTACTTGTCGTTCATCTCCTTGGTTCTCTGGCCTCTCCTTGAGAAAACAGACTCCTTTATTCAGAAAAAGGAATTAAAATTTGGAAGCCTCTCACTTCTCCCGTTGTTCAAATTTCTGACAAAAGTATTATGTATTAGTATCTCCACAAGGAAGGCAGGAAACTGTCACCTGTCACTATTTTCTGGTCCTGAATCCAAATCACATTGAGGGAATATTCATTCAGTCTATGAAAAACCACGTCAAGGATGTTTCTTGAGGCTGGGAGTTCAAGGTCATTTTCTCCAAGGGGAAGCAGGTCACTCGGGAGCTCTGTCCAATCACACACGCTTCCCCTCCTCCTCTCCCCTCCCCTCCCCACCCACAAGGGAGGAGCACATGGGGGTCTCAACAGACTCCCTAGAAGAGCAGCTATCACAACCTTGGATGCACCTGAAAATCCCCTGAGGAGCTTTGAAGATTCCTGATGTCCAGGCTGTACCCGAAAATTCCAAATGAGGAAGTCTGTGTTTGGGAACCAAGCAACTGGATATTTAAAGCTCCCAAGTGACCCCCAAGGTCCAGTCGGGGTTGAGAACACTTTCCCCAATCAGTGGGTCTCAAATGTGAGCATGTTTAGACTCCCCCAGACGTTCTGTTCAAGGAGGTGGCTGGGCCCCACCCCCAGAGTTAACGATTCAGTGGGTCTGGGCTGAGGACCCAGGATTTGCTTTCATACAAGCTCACAGATGCTGCTGAGGGTCTCTGGACCACACTTGGAGGAACCACTGTCCTAAAGTCACAGTCACCCAACACAAGAATGTGTTAGGGACCTATCCCCACTGGTCAATGGCGACAGAACCTTGATTTCCTGTCCCAAGTGTCTGGCTAGGCTGCATCTTTTATTAAAATGTGGCTCTAGGTTGGACAAGCTTTCTCTGAGTTGGCACAGGCCCAGCACTCTCTCACATGGCTTCTTCACGCATTCATATATTTGATTTTTGTGACACTGCACCCACCCTGCCCAAGAGTCCCAGAAGTAGCCATAAGAAATCTTTGGGTTCTGGCCTTGGGCTCTCTCCATTAAATTCAATAAAAATCAATAGCTTGGATGAAAACAAAGAAGGCAGCCCATCAAGTCTGACCTAAGGGCAGGCAGGGTGGGCGAGATGGTGAAGATGCTGAAGAGCAGAAAGATCCCTGTGACCAGGTGGAACAGGTGCGGGTGGGCATCGAGCCGGGCACTACAGACGTGTGGTTTCACTTAACCTTCCCAACTACCCAAGGAGGTGAGTGCTATTCATGAGGTAAATGTTCCTCTCTTTCCACAGATGAGGGTCAGAACTGGTGGCCCACACACGGTCCCACCTGGTACGTGGCAGAGACACGCACCACTCCAATTCTGAGGCTTCCTTTACTACTCAGGCTCAAAGGTCCTTGCAGAATAAGATGGTAGGTCCCATCAGCAAGAAGTTTAATTATGGAAATGTAAAGTCTTGTAAAAAGGTTTTTTAAAATACAAGAATACGGGAAATCTGGCTTATGAATAATTCATGATACCCAGCTCCTCATCATTAAAATTTGATTATTTTAGGTAAAGCGCAGAGAATTGGCATGAAAGAAACCTCCCAGAAGATGCTAAGGGTTCAGGCCAACAGATTCTAAACCACCCCGCTCCCCTGCTGAGCCTCCCTCTTGCCTGGTCTAACATCTAACATCTCTAATGCCTCTGCTGGTCTCATCCCACTCACTGCCCTGCTGCCCCTGACCTCACCAGGCTCTGCTTTCCCTGGATGGGTGAGCCCACAACTAACCTTCTGGGTAATAGCTCTGGTTCAACAGAGCTCTGGGACCATCCACAACCACCCACCATCACTAAGGGAACCCCCTCCCTGAGAGCGTTCTGCCACCTGGGAGAGTCCATGCCTATCCATACCATTAAGAGCTGTGAGAGTTGGCAACAAGTTCAAGAAGAGCCAGTGTCACCTGGAGGTCAGCGGACTCTGACATGCTGGGTTCCCTGAACAAGAGCAGAGCAAGGACACAGGAGGTCCCACAGATGGGGCCAGTCAGCCACAGCTGGACACAGCACATGGTTCTGGGGACCACGCCCACAGCTGGGTCCTGACACATAGGAAACCGTTCACAAAAGGGAGGCGAGGAAGAAGCAGAAATGCCTGGACAGAAAGGCGGGTTAGGAGAGCTGGAGAAAACACTTGAGATACTTAGTCATGGGGGAAAGAAAAGGGGTGGCCCTGGCTGGTTTGGCTCAGTGGTTAGCCTGTTGGCCCAGAGACTAAAGGGTCCTGGGTTTGATTCCGGCCAATGGCATGTGCCTCAGATGCAGACTCGGGCCCCGGCCCTGGCATGTGGGGGGTGACCAATTGATGTGTATCTCCCGAATCAATGTTTCTCTCCCCGCCCCCCTTCCACTCTTTGAAAAGCAATGGAAAAAATGTGAGTGGTGTGTCAGAGGGGCAGGATAGGGGTTGTGGCCTGGACAACTCCTGCCTTTAGGCATCTGAAGAATTAATATTATTCTGCTCGACTATAGAAAACAGGATTAGCAAAGATGTGTCCGTCTGTAGAAACACTGAGGCTAGGACAGCAGCACAGCAGGAAAGCTGAACAGAAAACTGAAGAGAAAGGGCCGGAGCAGGCGACCTCTGGATGCCCTGCGGCCCCTGGTTCGTGCCCTGTCTCATCAAATGATTGT